CCCCTAAGATACTGGAAGGCCACAATAAGGTCCCCTGGGAGCCTTCTCTTCTCCAGACTGAACAGCCCCAACTCTCTCAGTCTGTCCTCACAGGAGAGTTGCTGGTTACTGGTGACCTACAGCTCTGTGCAGTGGGACAAAGTGCCACCTTTGCCAACAACAGGCGACTCGTGCAGGTGTTCACAGGGAGCCTGTGACGCGCGGTGCCACGTCAGAACATCGCTGCAGCTTCACTCGTGTCGGTGTGTGGACAGGGCTGTTTCTGGAGCACTAGAATGCACAGAGAATTGCTTCTCCTTTCTAGTTCAACCAGATCATGGCAGCAACTATAAAATTAATATTGTGATTTTTAAAAAGGTGTGTTCTGGCCCCCCCAATGTTGTAGGGTTTGACAAGCAGCACCTGTTTGCCTCACAACACGGCGTGTGGGAGCGTGCTGTAACGAGAGCCTGCGGTGCACACCGAGGGCATGGTGCCGACCCCCCGACACCCGCCTTTCCTCAGGGCTGAGTTGTATTTCCTGTCAGGCACGGGCAGCGTGCAAGCGCCCGTTCCCTCGGTGCCTTTCCCTTTGCTGCAGGTAGTGTGCAAGTACATCGAGAGCCCGGTGCTGTTCCGGCGGGAGGAGGTGGGGCCGGTGAAGTTCGACGTGCGCTACGTGGTGCTGCTGCGCTCGGTGCGGCCGCTGCGGCTCTGGGCCTACGAGGTGTTCTGGCTGCGCTTCTCCAACCGGTAACCGCCCGCTGCGGGGAGCCGCTCGGAGCCAAGCGGGGCCTGCGCAGCCTAAGGGGGGGTTTTGTTCCCTAGAGCCTTTTCACTGGATGACTTGGATGACTACGAGAAGCATTTCACAGTCATGAATTATGCTCCCGGTGTGACATTAAAACAGGTAAGCAGACAATGCAAAATGTTCCCTTAGCTTCCCGTTGTTCAAACGCCTTCCGTTGTATCCTTTGTGACTGTTGCCAAGTAACCCGTTTCACCTACCTGTTTAACCTGCCACTTAAAAGGAAGGACCCTAAGCCCTAAACTTTCCTAGACTCGTCCCCCTCTTCTCCCCT